AGAACTTTCACTATTTTTAGCAAAATTATATTAATATTAGACGTCGTTAAGGGTGTTACAATTGTTGTTATAGACAACCGCGGAAGAATTCATCTATGTATTGTAAAATATTATATTCGTTAAGTTCTGTTAGAATATTCCATTTACATAATATTATTATTAGTTATTACACATTTTTCGTCGGAAGCGTTCAAAAACTACGTTTTCCGATTGTCTGTCCTTTGCGCTGAATACGTAGGTTCCGTATACTATACGCGTGTTTTATTTTCTAAAATATCATATTATATATCGGACGTCTCGATCGTAAAAATCTCTGGGCGTTGTAGGTACAGAACTAAAGCAGAAGCAGCTACACACATTCACACACACCACAGAGCTAGCAAGTGCGCGTTTCCGAATTCGGTTCCCACACTGATTTACGATGACGACGCGAACCACCTTATCTTAATCGTCTTTTGCTACCGTCTCTGCCGCGCATACCCGTACGACTAATAATCGTGTTTTATAATAACATGGTACATCGCGTGTACACGACAGTCGCCCGGGGCTCTTTGGCGCGGGTATCGTCGGACTCGACGATGGTAGTAGGTCCATTGCGTTTCGTGCTGTCTGGAGTTCTCTATAGTGGTGTGCACTGGTCATCAACACACGATTTAATTGTATCATTTTGTGATATAATATTACCTGCAACAAACAAAAACATCAACAACAACAATAATAATAACAAGCCACAGCGTGCGTGTCTATTCTTGTATTGTAATCTCGAGCGTTATTATTGTCGTCGTCGTTGTTGTTTGTCGTTCCCGCCCGAGAGGGGAGGAAGACGATTTATAATAATATATAATAACACGGTAGAATATTATAATAACATAACATTTCTATACGGTCGCGAGCGTGTGTGTCTTATATAAACGCGTATAACATGTACGAGAATGATGTATGTACATAATAAATGGGTACGTTTAAGCCGGAGGCGTTGTAGTTTCCGGTGAACCCTTTTTTACATTATTTATCGTGCGTGTGTGCGCGCACCTGTGGAGCACGGGTCGGGGTGCCCATTAATGAATACGGCGGAGGACGCGTTCGCGGTGTACTAGCGCGGGCCCTCCGCGCCCGACCGGACGCCCCGCGAACGCTTCCTGGCCGTGGCGGCGCGCAACCGGTTTCTCGCAGCCGCACCATGAATGAACCACTGCGGCGGCGGTGGCGGCGCGGACAATCTTTAAAAGCGGCGGCGGCGGCGGCGCGACGACGACGACGACGACGCCACCGCCGACGGTCCGCGGCCGCCATTCATCGTTCGCGACGCGTACGGTTCTGACACGCACCGTCATCGCCAGCGGACTGCCATTATAAATAATATTAATATTATTATTATTTTGTCGCTCGCACATTATTGCCAATAACCGTTTCTCACATTATTATCGCGTTCGGCTCGCCGTTTTGGTCTCGTCGGTTACGATTCATCGATCGTCCGTTCCAGGCGATATCATAACGTACAGTATACGCGTTAGATCGGGTTATGAGCCTGTGCGTCATGTTCTCGAGATACGAACAACACAATCGTCACCGGGACGGCCGGAACAACAAGGCGGATCGGACCAGACACCTTTGGCAGCCGTGGGTGGAGAGGGCTGTTGACTACTTTGACGGTGAGAAAAGGATCACGCGATTTCGCGTTGCTTTTACTTCCTTTATGATATATTATATGTATTATTGTATTATTATTGTTTACGCGTAGTTTATCGTGTACACGAAAGAAGCGAGTAAAACCCCAAAACTCGAAATACCGAGGGAGCTAAAAAATTTCAAAGGTCTTGACGTAGTATTGAACTGTGTCGAAGTTCTTACTTAATTGCTGTATGCATACAATATATTCGATGTCGCGTGGTGCATGCGCGCTTTATTGTTGTAACGGGTGATATACCTATTTCGTTGTGCAACACAATTATGTCACACGATATCACATTATAGTGCGTGTTTTTGTACCTATTATTATATTTTTGAAATTAATCGATCGCCTTAAGTAATAGTTTCGTTAATAGGGTTCTTTCTACACACACTGGCTTTTTAATTTACTCGACCGCCATAATATATGATCTTTTTCGTTCGTTTGTTTGTGTTTTTGATGTTGAAATCGCAATTTATTTTCTGTATAGTGTCATATTATTGTACCATGGACAATGAGTGGTTGAAGTGTAACAACTAGCCTGGTTACAATAGTAATTTTTTATTGATGGGAAATTAATTTTTGACTTTTGAAATTTACTCATTAACGAATATCGTGTATGCCACTGTGCCACATACAGAATAATTAATTAATGTAATGTTGTAACAATTTGGTCCACTATAAAAAGTATACGCCAAGTACACTTTTGTCCTCGGTTTATTCGTTTATTTAAATTTACAAGACGTGAAAATTGAAAATGTGAATATCAAATTATCGACAATATGTATAGTTACGTACATGTTATAATAATGGAATAGTATTTGTTTCTCGTGTATTATTTTAACTTTTGAAAAATAATAAATTTGTAAATTGTAAACACGAGTGTGTTGTACATGCACGTGAAAATATTTTCAATAATCGCGCACAAAGTTTACTTTCAACTCAATTTATGCAAATTAAATTCATTGTAATTACACACTTTAGCGTTTAAGTCTTTACTAATCCAATTAGGCGTTTGGATGTACGGTTATTGTGGTACAAACTCATATTCAATGTTATACGTATCTACAATTACTAAACCGTGTGTGACATGCACCTGAAATAAATTAAAATATGAACCTGATTCCGATTAAAATATTCTGTATGTTGTTATTCACTGGTATTAGACAATGTTTCTTTAATATGGTAAAATATCAAAAGGGATGATTCTATTGTATACAAAAACTAATTCACTCCCCACCCTATGGGTGTGTCGTATGTACTTAACTAGTACACTGTGTACAGACCATTTCTGTATGTATTATAGACGACTGCCTAATGTTGCGTGATAATCAGATTATAAATTATATTGTTACAATAACGTTTGAATATTTAATTTAATATTATTCATTCATCGACATTATATGGTACATTATTATTGCACTTTAATATATTTATAGAAATACAAATATCTGTATTTGATTGAAGAATAAATTAACCGTTCTTATACCGGTCGAAAAAATGTCCATTCACACGTTACTATTATTGTTTTACTTTTTATTTAGGCCTAAAAAAAAAAAAAAAACGTTAAAAATACAATTAGACAAAATAACGATAAACAATTACAGTTATTAACTATTTGAAACGGTAAAAAGTGAATAAAATGAATTAGGTCTAATTTAGAAATCAAAAGCTGTGCTTGAAATATGGGGAGCTATAAGATAATTTGTTTATACGATTCATATTTCTTTTGCTAATTCATACTGTAATGTAGCAACTTGAAAGTGCTATGCGGTTTAGTTTTTTTTAAGTTTATGTTTAATATTGTTAATTGGTATATGTGTGTATTTTAATAATCAATTCCAATGAATTGATGCAATGGATAATCTCCTTATGTATATATGTATAATGTAGTACTATGTGTGCATAATCCTCGTGTTTTAAATAAATGTTATCAATTATAATTTTTATTGCGATAGTTGTTTGAATTAATAATTATGCTGCACAGCCGACGAATGGGTCATTCGATTTCAAAGAAATCTATTGTTTATAGCAAATTATAAACTGACGTAAAAAAAAAAATTGATAAATTTGTTTTTATTTTCGATAATCGGTTATAACGGGTTGTATATATAAATCATCATTCATCATAATACGCGAGTGCCGCGGACTATATTATTACTTCGAAATAAAATAATACAAGTTCTTCGATTAACGCGAGTCATCATCTCATGTAGCGTTCAACACGCCACGTCCGAAAGGCGATGGCGTTATGGACTTGTAGTATAATAACAATAATAAAATCTAATATTATTGTAATATATATTTAATGTTAATCACGAACAGGAAACGTGTACTTTGTTCGTATGCCAAGAGTGCGTGTATATGGTCGTCGTCCTTCCGTTCTCCTGCATCGACCCGGACGGGAAAACGGATATAATATAACGACAACCATAATAATGTAGTAAGACTACGTGTGTACCTATATCATAATATAATAGTGATGTACCTATACACACACACACACAAAACTCATCGGTAAATAATATTATATTGTACATGGACAGTATTCACATATTATATAGTTTGTATTATTAATGTAGAGTGGAGAACAAGTTTAAGGCGTACAGCTAAACTATATAAGAATATTATTGAGGATTTTACGATTTGTCGCAAATAAAATGTAATATTCAAAAAAAAAAAAGATATAAATAATGCATGATATTTAATCAAATTGTCAAATTCTCTACAGACAGCACACTCTAATACTGTAGATACACGGGTATGAATGCGGGAGTGTGGGAAATACCAACGTAGGTATATGCGCACGTGGAGTGTAACAATATACATAATAATAATAATAATAAATAACAAATATATTATATGTACCATGTTGAAAAGTTGTATTGACGCGCTGTGACATCTGTCGTAGGAAATTCCTCTAATGTTCATTTTTTTATACTATAAATGACAGTATCGTATTGGGTTGCAATATGTACGTATGAATGTATGAAGTTATGCGGGGCGCGGCGAATGGTGCAGGAAATCTCAAGAACGCTAGGAATTCAACAAGAATCCTGTAGAAATAATAATAATGCTTAATGCGTTCGAGATATTTATTGTGTATAACATGTAGGATTTAGATACGCCGCCACGCGTCTAACGTGAATAGTGGTATATTTTGTATAATTATTAACCATTATTTAGAACCAGTTGGATTAAAAACGCATATAAATTCTGAACGATACGAATGATATACGGCTACAGTAAAACAGAGCGCATGTGACGCACGACTGGATTTTATCCAGTTGCGTATTGGACTTTTCTAAATAAGATTTTTCTGTTTGTACAGATCATTCGAGGGCGCTGTCACTGAGATGTTCGGCGATGGAAGGAACCGTCGGCACTGTCGGAAAATGGAAGAGAGAGAGAAGACACAGGGCCGTCTGCACGTCACCCGTATCACCAACTCCGACGCCGTAAGTTTACATCTACCAATAATACTTATAATCACCGGGATGACTGAATCGTGACCACGGGGTGTAGACCTAAAAATTCGAATATTCTCGGTTTATGATGGAATGGGAAGGTAAAAATGATGACAGTTTTGTTTATTATTATTTTTTTTTTTTTAATTGGTTTACCTGTTTTATGTATTGTTACATATTGCTAAGAATAAGAGTTATCACAATAGATTTTTAAAAGTTTAAAAAATGATATTATTAATTAGCACTGTCGTACTAGTACACTACGGATAAAAACCTTTAAAATATTCTCTTTATATTCCATTAAAATTGATGAAAAATGGTTAATTTCGAAAATATTTTAAATTCCTCAAAATAAAATGTCAAGTATTTAATCAGTAATTACAAACAAATTTAGAATATTTTAAACAAAAGGTTATTTTATCATATAAAATTATTTATCGTCAACAAAAAACATTGAATACCTCAACAAACGATCAAATATAGGTTAAGTATTCAGTAATCTCAAAAATATGTTCAAATATGCAGAATACATATTTTACTATACAAATTCTATGAATAACTCTACAAATTTCTAACATTTATTACCCCTATAAAGCAGCAAACATTTATTAAATATTTAAACTAGTTAAATATTATCTGTGAAAGCACATATGCTGCAATGTGGTTCGATTATACGAACATGAAACAATATATTATTATATCATAAAAATTATAAAATGTATGTTATGTAATAAACAAATGATAAAATGTATATAGTGTATAGTCCAAGAATGAAAAGATAAAATAAAATTCCCGACATCGTGTTACAAGAGCATTAGTTATTTGGTCAGCGTTGAGGTGGTGGCGACGTTCAAACATATAGATTTCAACTTTCCACTTTTTGACTTACAAACAATTATTCGACAACACGTGTATTTGACGACATAACTCTTATTTTTTTTCGAACTTAAATCCATCGGGTAGCTTCCAGATCGATTTTATTTCTTCAGCTACTTTGCGGCGGTGACCCCCCCCCTTCTCGCGGGTTTGGGCTCTATAAGTTATAGTAAAAGAGATAAAAATTATTATGGTCAATAAGGTTCACAAGAGTTTTTCTTAGGAGGGACATTTTTCATAAATCAATTTCATCAAGGAAGGCATTTCTATGCCTTTTCCCCCCGGGTGCGCCACACGACATTTGTCATATGACCTGCAGTGTTGCATCTAGGATTAATAATATATTATATAGTTTCAGAAACTCTCAAGAACCGTTGGATATGACGACGACGGCCGGTTCCAGGGCGATGCCCAAAGAACGGGCTTCAGTGATCATGGCGTCGCCGGCCACCGGGCACAGAGCACCGTCGGCGGCGGCGACAGGCGGCATTAGCGATCCAGTTATCGACGAACATTTCAGGCGGTCCTTGGGCAAAGACTACATGAACGTGTTCGCGCCGGCCGCCGCGCAACGACAACAGCAACAGGCTCCGGAAACAGCCGCCGCCGCACCATCGACCGACGGTGAAGATAACAACGCAGGATTATCAGGTATACTTAAAAATTGTTATTATACGTCATGTATGTCTATTGTGCACGGTGTCCCGATCAGTTATACCGATTGAGCTTACCTACGAGTATATGACGAATATGTTTTTTTGTCTAATCTAAATCCGTCATTGTTATTGAATTATATTATACATAAACTAGGTTAGGTTGGCAATCGGTTAAATATTTTTTGTCGTCGAAAAAAAAATTTGTATAATTACTTAAATTTAAAAATACCTTATAATAACCCAATATTCTAAAAATGTGTCAGGACTTTCATAAATCTACACACATATTAATTCAAGTGACACCGCTGATTCTTACAGAGTATATACGAGTAGACGTTATAAAATGTTCATTATTGTTCTAATTAGTTTATTAAATAAGTACAATATCGCATGTACATGGGACAACACAATGATGAACGATACTATATTATTACACTATTACGTAGGTGATACTTTAATATAGGTAACTACGCACAATATTATCATTTATTTTCATTACATCGGTAAACTCCCATCCCACTGGATCAAAGCTTCTGCAGATATAACTTTCGGGGACACGTATTTAAAACCACAGCACGGTCTGATATTATCTACGGTATTTGATCATCGGACGAAAATACCGACGAGGAAACGTCTAAATTGCGTTCTGGCTACAAGACAACTCTATTACAACGATGTACAATAAAATAATAATATTAACGTCCAACATTTTTGTAAAACATTAATAATAAAAAAAATGTATGATTTTCAGCGGTTGACGATCATTTCGCCAAAGCTCTGGGCGACACGTGGGTAAAGCTGCAAAAAGAAGAATACCAAAAAAAGAGAAAAGAGACAGCGACCGCCGCCGCTGATGGCAGGCAAAAAGTGAACGTATACGCGGCGTGAGGGAGAAACCCGACAGGAAAAACAGAACAAAAATGAGATAATTTTAGGGGATTTGTGTTATATTTATATTATAAGTGCAGCAGGAGCAGCCGGATGTGCGCCCGGCTTCGGGACGGTGGGCTAACCTGCGTAGACTACTATTTTATGTATATGATTTTATTCTTTGTACACTTTAAACTTTGTAAATAAAGAAAAAAATAAGTATTTATAAAAAACTTTTTTATTAAAAAAGTATTAAATGGTTTTATTAACTTACAGAAAAATGTATCCAAGACCTTTGAAAAAAATCGAATATTCGATTAACAAACATCATGAGAAATTAAAATTATAGAACAGAAAAAGAAATTAATTAATTAAAAAAAATTATATATATATAAAAAATTTTCATTAAATGTAACAAAAACAGTTAGTCTATTAGTATTCGTTTGATGTAGGTACTTCAAACGAATCACGAATAACAGTAAATCTAATAAAAGTATATATATTCATAGATAATAATAAGCTCGTTTTTTTTTTCGCAAATCGAAATATATAAAATTACAGGCGATTGTCTTAGTATAGGTAGTCCACGAGCGACAATCATAAGACCGACCGCGAGTGTATTATATTAAAATACAAAATCAATACGTTTCACCGTGGGTTACATAATTTCAATAAATCAACAAAATTGTCTTTTAAGTAACTTAGCATACTATGAGCAAACGTGCGGTTAAATCGACGTTATCGCGGACGAGTTTCAAATTAAAAACTCATCACGCGGGAATTAGTAATTTGGCGTCGATCAGCGGCTGGTATGCAATTTCTTCTTTGCTGTTATACAACTCCACGCCAACGACGTCGTTGTCCGATTCGCTCTGTAAACCAAATGTTTTCGACTTTCATTATTAATTACAATTTACGATGGATTATACACACGGGCAACGGTTAGGAATTTAAAAACAATATCATTAATAACGACGACGTACGATTCCGACGATCTTTAAATTGATGCCCCTCAACGTTTTCGACAATTTATCAACGACGTCTTTGGCGTAGGCGTCGTCGCCCAGTCTGACATTTACCAGCTGACAGTCGATCGTGAACATCGGGAATTGGAAAAGCTCTGCGGGACACGGTCTTAGACTGTCGGAAACGGAAGTAAACCAATGTTATCACACAAATAGCATATTGTTCATCAAACAGACTTGTTGTATAATAATACAATATTTAACTGCAAACGCGGGGCTTACTTTTTTTTTATCAACTTGATGGATATGCCAAAGTCGACTAACAACACCGAGTTTCCACCATTTTCAATGATACCGCGTTTCCACAGCCCGTTGTGAAAAACGACGACAGCACGGCCTGGAAAAAAAAAAGTCGCACGATAATCATTGTTATCGATACAAATGATACAACCATTAACGCAGCCACCAATGGAAGTTATTGACGAGACGTGCGTAGGTGGTAACTATTTAGTGTTGTATATATTTTGCTGTTTTATTATTTTACTTCAATTTTTACATTTAAGACATCGAGGGATATTAAAACGCGTCCGAGGTACACAACGATACGATGGAATTATGGAAACGATAGACAATCCAAATTACGGTTGTACAAAGGGTACTGTAACCAAAAAATAAATTCTCAATACAAGTTTAATCGTCATAGAAGGATTAAAAACCAATGTAATTTTTAGTGAAACTCTGTAACCAGCGAGTTTATGAAATCATTCGTTTAAAGAAAATAGAAATACTAAATCCAGGATCATAGTTCGGTCAATATAACTGGTGGCAGAATCTATAGACACAGTCGCAAGGTTAGGTCAGGCGGTTAAGCAGCCGGTGGGTTTTCAAAATTATTACTCATTACTTATTTTAATGTTTTGAAGATTTATTTTTAATTGAAAATATAGGTCGATTTATATTGTTTATTGTAAAAAAAAAAAAATAAAAAAAATAAAAATCCAAGTAAAATAAAGAAAATCTATCATGTTATCTATATTCTTTAAATATTATTAAAACGTGAGGCGATTTCTTATGACAGTTATATCTGAAGTTCTACAAGACTGATTTTCATGATTTCTTATTCTAACATAAGTACTTGGTGTGCATATGAGCTATTAAAAGAGAAAAGTCCAAAAAATTAATAATCTGAATAGTTATTAGAAGTATTAAGTTTGCCGTATTGTTACATAGCGACATTCGTTGACGACACCGGCTGCCACCAGGATAACCCCCATTACTCCTACACCCACTGCAGTTTGTAGTACTGCTGCACTATTGTGGTCGGTAAAACCCATAATAAATACGTTTTAATAACACCGTAACCAAAACGTGTGAGATCTTTTGAAAAATTAAAAATACAAATAATACCGAAAAACAAAAATGATACAATAAATGTAGTTTATAAAGAAATTCTGTAATAAATAATAATAATAATAATAATAATAATAATACACAAATATATTAAAATTTTCATGTAACTATCAATTTCATTATGTTACGGGAAATATTTGTAGTTTTTTCCATATTATGAATATGTTATGCATAGGTAATTAGCGTGTATTAACAAACATGGGGACCCACTGGGGGAGGGCAAGACTAGGCACTTGTCCTCCCCTAAAAAAAAAAAAAAAAAAAAATATGATTTTATAATAAGTATTACCATTTTAGATAATATCTAATTAAGTACCTAAAGAGCATACAAATTATTTTTTTCTTTATCACTAAATAAGGATTTGAAATAAAAAAAAAATACACACACACACAAACAAACACATATATATATTATATAGTCGTATTGACGATTATGGTAGATATATGCAAGGTTAATCACAGATTAAACATTTATATTTAGTTAATATTTTGAGACTTTTTGCCTACCCCTAAAATTGAATCAATGAGCGCCAATGTTTATAAATGTTATTAAAACTAAAGAACTTAAATTAATTTCCATTTTATGTTTTTCTTAAACATTAATGTAATTTTATTATAACATTTAACATTTATAACTATATATTAATCGTTCCTATTTTATTTTTTTACTGTAATCCGGCAGCAACGGATAATTTAGTTCTATAAAAATAAAATTTTAATAATAAATACCTGTTATTTATATCGATATCTAATACAATTTTTATCAAACCTCAACCGATTAAATATTAGTTATAACTAATAAATAAAAAAAAAAATGTCTTTTACGACCCTCAGCATAGAAAACTGATCAAAAATAAATATTATATTAATGAATTATGGTTATTATGTGCTTAAATGGTTAAGATGTATTTTTATACTATCATTTTTAATTAACAATGTAATATTCATCGGACTTCAGTACTCCAAGTGAAACGGCTGCATACTACCTAGTTGCGTCACAAAGATATCTGCGAAGAAAAGTCTAATCCGAATTTCCTGTAGTCTGTATAAAGATGGGATGAAAAATGAAGTTCGAGATGTATTATTTGATATTAAAAAAAAAATGTGTAGTTAATTGTTAATATAATATAATCAGGTCGTAATTGGTAAGTACCAAAAAAAAAAAAACTCGAACCACGATTAAGAAGAAAATGTTATCACGGGACGCGACTAGTAGTCGCCCGGTAAAACTATCCCCCCTTGTGGAGGCCAGGGTCATAAATCATTCTATCCAGAAATGCACATCACGCCCTACCGACTTATATACGTTAAGTTTCATATACCTGGTACGACGTGGTCGAGTGGTGGCAGAGTGCCGCATTTATCATATATCATGTTGTACATTTGGTTCTTGGCGACGCTAAAGTCGGCACCGCCGATCTTTGTTATCATCAACGTGAAGCTAGTTGGTCCGTTAATGCGGCACATGGTGCCCTCGATTACTTCGTTGACTTCCAGACAGAACTTCAAGTAATCGGATTCCTCGCCGTCGTCTAACATCACCGCTGATGTGTTCAGCGTACTAACATTGTTCCCTTGCTCATCGTCTACCGAATACGTCGTCATCATTGTTGCATTGTCAAAGATTGATTCGTACTCAACGTAAGTTTGTCCATCGTCGTCGTTGGTCTGTCCACCGTCGCCGTTGGTCTGTCCACCGTCGCCGTTGGTCTGTCCACCGTCGCCGTTGGTTTGTTCACTGTCATCGTTGGTTTGTCCATAATCATCGTAGTTACTATCATCAGTCGCGTGAAAATTATTTTCATCGTCCGGGACCAAATCAATGATCGACGACGATACATACTCGAAGAATGCAAATTTGTTTGTCACCAGATATTGACACACGTCAATATGGTCTTGAATTTCTTTCATAAACTTGATCTAAACATTTAAAGTGCACACTATTATTACGACAACTATACGTATTGGTGAATGGGTATGTATTTGTTTTAAAGGGCAATGCGTTTCACATTTTTTTTTATAGTTTCGAGATTTTTGCCTTGTTAGTCGTTACACGTTGGTAACGTTTTATCGAGTTCTAGAAATTCTACTACATAAATACCCAGAAAATGTAATTAAAAATTATATTTCAAGCGTACTAACTATTTAAAATTTAAATGGATCACTTTTAGTTTCTTTTAGCTTTAATACAATGCTTCCAACGATCTTGCTACTTTTTAAAACACCTGTGAAATTCCTCCATAATTATACTCTTTGCTTTTCTATTGCATTATGAATAGTTTTGTTAATATCTTTGAATCTCTGACCTTTGAGGGTATTTTTTAGTTGATAAAAAAAAAAATCACAGGGAGCTAAGTCAAGTGAATATAGTAGGCGAGGTACCAGTGGTATATTTTTAAACACCGAAAATTCACGTATGGAAAATGCTAAATACGCTAGTGTAAAAACCAAAACTTTGATTTCCACACTTCTGGCCTTTTACTGTGTACTTTTTCTTATAATTTTTCTATTACTAAATTATAGAATACTTGATTTATTGTTTGTCGCCTGGCCTGTAGGCATAAACTCTTAATGGACTAAACCAAAAAAAATCGAAAATACAATGATGTTTGACTTGACCTGACGAAATTTCTTGAACAAGGTGAATTTTCTGTCTTCATTGTTATAATTTAAATTTGGTTTAGGTACTATATTCGAATAAAGCCAGAAAAATTAACCTAACCTAGTATAGTATTCTTTATTTTAATCAAAATTTTCCATTTCAATCTAAATTATTTTGGTTGAAATATTTTGTGTTACTATTTAAGTGCAAAACACCATACTGTTTGTAAACCTAAGCATAGTATAACGTAAAATTCACCTGAAATTTAGTAAAATTCATACCAAAATTCAATGTGAACATAATTTTGGGTACCATAACAGTTACTAGTTACTACTTTCTATTTCATCGCTTTTTAATCCAAAAAAGGGAAAATTATTTTTACTAGATTTTTATTGAATTTATCTACTTAACTACCTGAATTAATATAAAACAAATCAAAACGTATAGGTAGTAAAAACACAACTCACTGCATAGATATCGTCGGTTGTCAGACTTTTGTCAATAGTTATTTTACACGTTTTTCCGACAAGCAAGTAGTGTATAAAATCGAGTGACGGTAATGGCCATTTTCCGCTTTTCGTAATCTAAATCAATCAAATAATTTAATATAATGATTATCTTGCATAGTGGTTTCAAAAAATGAAAAATCGTTCATTTACCGGTAAAATAGTGCTGAAGTATCCCTTGACGCACAGTTGAGGGACGTCGGTCATGTACAAGGTGGACCTAAGTTTTTCGTGCGTACATGTTTCGACATTGCCATAATCATTAAACAGTACGGAGAACTCTCCATTTTCATCTTTCTGAAACATCAATTTTAACAATAATTGACAACGCCGTCGTTAATTTGTATATATTAATTGTAGATAACATACATAATTATAATAATATTAGTCACTGTACTCGGTGCCTTTGCAGACAGTTGTCACGTATCATATAATATAAATTACGTTACCGTTTATTCAGATAATAATGTTGATGACAAGGCATTAATAGTTAATATAAGCGATATTGTAGAAATCAAATTTTTTATTTATTATAAACATTTACAACCATAACTTAATATCAACTACTGGTAGACAATGTTGATAATTTTATTTAAAAAAAAAGAGTTGTCACGGGACATCTGGTAGATGTGAAGTATTGAAATAAATTAATATTGAAAGTATTTACAATTAATGATAGCTAATAATTCAGTATGAACAGAAGAGTTTTGTTAGTTATTCGTATTTTTATTAATATAACATTAATGTATACAGAATACAAATACAAGGCAAATAAATATTTTTAAATCAAACTTTTTTACACAGTTGTCATGGAATACTTTTTGGTGAATTCGTATTTTCTGTGATTTCTGATAATTATATTTTAATCAAAGTTATTTATTCGTATTACATAGTAAGTTAGATAAGTTACATTCATAATTCAAAATACGCGAGTTTTTTCATTATTTCGAGAAATCATTAAAGAAAATTACCACCGCGAACGTTCGCATCAGTGGTTACTTTTCATTTTCCTGACTATATAGTATTTACTACGTAAACAAGTGGAGAACGTAATATTACTAATATTTATAGGTACATAAATACGATAACACACACTGCGATTATTTGTAGCTACATTTACTAATTATCACCACCACTGACCATCGTGTTGGACTTTGGACCGTCATAGGTGAATTGGGTTAAAAATTTAAAATGATACTACACAGTGCACAGAAAAATTGATCAACTATTTAAGTAGATAACTTAATGTTATGTACTACGATAATGTGAGCGTACGTAATAGAAATATTGTATCAAATACCGTTTGAGTTTTTTGCAACACGGTTGAATTGTGATATGTAAAATATTTAAAAGCAAGATTATTGATTAATATCAATTATTTCAGTATAAAAGATTACGTTTAAACTTCAATAATTTTCTTAAGTTAGTTGAATTTATCATCACAACTTAGTATATCATTGTCTGAAAATAATGCAGGTATTAACTTTATTTCAAAGTCAATATCTTATACACTCTAATTTGATTGGAAATATAGTTAGTTATTCACTTAAACTAGTTTAACTTCTTACAATATTTACAAATTAGTAATTATTTAAATAATATTATATATCCGTAACCAGACATGTAAATAAGAGGAGTTAAGAGTTTAAATTTCCATATCATAGTGTTTATAACAAATATTTTTGTTTAACATGGTTGTGTTAAGTTAATTTATAGGCATAGACAATTAAATTACCAATGCAAAATTAAAATTAAAGTATAAACGTTTAATTTTTGTACTCAAGATTCTCCACCCAATATTTTTCTGTACAATTATATTCCCTTCTTCACTGAATCTAAAAACAGTCAAGACTAAAAATTAGAAACAGATTTACCGAAATTATATACATAATATGACGTATACAGCTTCCAAAATTTGTAAAAATAAATTATTAAGTTATTTTCATATTTTATAAATTAAAACAAATATAAACTTAAAAACGGTACATGGAATTATAATTATTTCATTTAATAATTTACCATTTTATAATTTTAAAACAGTAGCTTTTTAAGGTTGATCAACAAAAGATGAATATGAACGAATTTAATGGTATATACAGTTCTAAAATATTACTTTCAGATTTCAAAATTTTTCTTCAAAACCAAATCAAAATTAATAATAAAAATATAATTAAAAAAAAAAAAAAAAAAAATAAACTAATAAAAAAAATAATACAAACTTTTAAAATCGTTCCTCGGTACCACATATTGTCTAGATGGTATTGAACTATAACCGATTGTCCTTCACTCCATTGCATATTGAATGGTTCTGGTTGGCTATTAGAAAACATTTCATTCAATTCATTTGAAACAAGCTGTAATAATTGAGGGGTTTCTGGAGCAATAATATTAACAAAATTAAAATTAATATTTATTTTAACTATATTTTGTTCATACCATTATCCATATTTTGTAAATAGATGTGGCATTCCATATCAACATTGGTTACAACAGCATTAAATTCAGATTTGTCCAAACAGGCAGGAGGTAGCCAACAGTTAACAAATTTATCATTTTCTATAGTTTCAATAGAGTAATTGAATTCGGATTCTGATTGAGAGTCTGAATATCCACCATCCTGTTGGAAAACATTTTGATGGCAAGCTCTCCACAAAAGTATAGGGTAAATAAGAGGTAAATAAATACTTTAAAAAAAAAAAATACTAATACAGGTGTGAATTGAATAGAAGTAGGTATAGAAAAGTAAAATAAAAACATTTGTAAAGTTGTATACTAAAATTGTAATATTGTAATAAAATGATTGTTAGGAATATTGATTTTTAATTGAGTGTTGTTGTTTGTAATATTAGAGTAAATTTATTTCTTATGAATTAAAATTAAAAAATAACGTTATCTTGAATTTCAGGTTAGTTTTTTTTCAATATTTTAAATTAAATGTGACCAATCAAATAATTTAAATTGAAATATCATATCTTCTATTATTAATAGCTGTTTAATTAACAACAAATTAAAAATGACCAACAATAATGTTATTATTAATAAATTTACTCAAAAATATAATGGAAACATAACATAAAATGTTGAAAGTTTAAAAGATAGTGTCAACAATGAATATATTGTGTACATTATTTTAATGGTTTTATTAAACACCTTAATTAAAAATACCTTTTAATTTTTGTTTTTTAATACAGATAAGGAATTTAAATTGAATAAAATACGCAATTTTATAAATTAAATTATAAATTTTTTTTTTTATATCATAAATTTACATGGTATAATATAAAATATAAGGTGGTTCTTTTTTGATACAAATATGAACACTTTTAATGAGTAACAGATAACAAACTTAATAGTATTATTGTTAAAAAAAAATGTTTAACTTTAATGTTTATTTAATATGAATTGTATTTTTTTTATTATTGTTAACACAAACTTCATTACCTGAATTGATACATTGTTTAATTATAATATATTAAATGAATATTTTTTCTTTAAGATGTTAAAATCAGTATTTGATTTTCTCAACACATATTTTTGCTTTAAGTTTACTTACCTTTTTATCTCTGAAAAGTAAAGAAAAGAAAATATTATTAAAATAATATAGTATTCTTAAAAAAAAATTGGAAATAATTATTTTTAAATAGCAAATAATGTCTAGGTCATTGTAATACTATTTTTAAAATTAACTGCAAGATAATAATTTTTTATAAAGTTTAAATTTTAATGTCAGTTAAAGTATTCAATAACGATTTATTTCTATCTGGAGGCCAAAAATGTTTCTTTTTTACTAGTAATAGGGAAAGTAGTAATCACAGAAAAGTGTAGAAGTTCAAGTAAGATTCATTTACATGAATGTATATATATTATAAATTTAATCTATTATATCAAATATTAGCAGGTAGGTAGGTTACTTTCATGCTGTTTTATATGAATCAATTTGGTGAATCTAGAATCTGAATTAAAAATAATAAAATCTCATGTATTATAAAAGATAGGAGCATGAGAAAAAGTAGTATGTATGGTTTATATGAGAAAGTAATTTCTGTTTAGACAAATTGCAACCCTTGCTTGTAACTTATGCTGCTAACATTTCCTACTACTAAAATACTTCACTTTCTAGTATATTTGATTAAAATAAGATTTAAAAAAATGTAAGGGTACTGAAATTATTACACTACACGGGAAAGACTCAATTTTAAATAAGAAATTGAAAACATCTTTGAATTTGAATTTGTGAATCATATATTTTAAAAATTGTTAGTTTTATACAGCTACTACATTATTTGAATCATAACATTTTTTTTTTAAATTTTTAATAATAATTATTGTTTAATGTTAAATTATTAATGTGTGATTAACTTACTGTTTATTATTTAAAGCAAAACCTTGTTCTATCATAAATCTGCTCATGCTAATCCAACGTTCATGTAATGGTTCCAAAGCTCGTGGCATTTTTATTTCTCTGACCCATATATCTCCTAAGGCAATATCCTGTTCTTTTGCCTATAAATAAAACATAATAATAACATTAATATATAATTAATAGTTAACATTAATTTGAGGATTTACATTCATTCTTGAAAAATATACTAGAGGATATTTTTTTAATTTTTCAATCAAACGATCACAAGTAAATTTAGGCCATATTCCATTTGAAGCACCCAAAGGAACTAAATTGTACAAACCACAGTGCAGAATTCCACACTTCTCTTTAGCACAATTTTCTTCAAGTATATGTAAAGATTTAATAGATATTTTGTCAATTGTTTCATTTAAGTCATATAAATAAACCTGGGAAAAGAATAAATAAATAAAATAATTACATAATTTAATATATAATTTCTATGCAATTTTAATTGTTTCAAAACATTTTAGTTTTAAAATTAGTAATAAATAATAAATAGTTATTGTTGAGAATAAATTACTAAACGGCTAACAAAATATTCCTTAACAATTTTTTTTATAAATAAATAGAAGTCATTAGGGATAGGTTGATTGAAAGTCTTCACATAGTATAAAACAACTTGTCAACGTTCAATTTGTGTATACTTTTCTTAAACAAGATATAAATGTTTATGCTAAGCCACTAATAAGTAGTAGTTTAAGTTTTTTTTTCATAAATTAACATAATATATTCATCATAAAATTTGAATTTTATAATCTATTACACAGATTGAACAATAAGTAAATGTAATTTATGACATTTAGAATTTACATGAATTATTTGTAAATAATGTTATTTACATTTGTTTTTTTATTTGGTAGTTTTTCATAAGATTATTATCTTTTAAACAACATTTAATAATAATTTTAAACTTACTGTAACTAATTGTTTTATTAAATCTATATTTAAAATTTTTCCTCTATACCAATTTCCATATTTATTAATAAATATTGCACATAAATCATTTATTTTCCAAACTAATTTTTGTGTCTTCTTTTTTTTATTAGCATAGACTTTGTTCATATTTCCAGTTAGTCTGAAATCAGATAAACAATGTATTTAAAAAGCAATTTAATTTAGCACAAATTCAATATGAATGCATATATAACTTTGTTATACCACTACCAATGATTATGTGTATGATAATATGTTTGGTTCATAGATATAAAATTAGCTTGTTAAAAGAGGAGAAGGGCTAAAATTATAAACATAGAACAGGTTCATGATATGGAGGCCCATTACAGTAGTGTAGAGAGGAGAACCAAGCACTCTTACCAATTTACGCCTATGGTTTGATTAGATTAGGTTAAATAATTTTTGAAAATTTTTTTTTTAAGAGGAGATATTTGAATATATTATTTTTGTCTAAAATGTAAAACAAAATAAAAAATTAAAGTTCAGTAAAACAAAAATTTGTGTTGTTGAATTCAATATTTGAATGAATTGATTTAATATTAAGCTTAAAAGTAAAAATTTTATTTGTGAATTCTCGATGGTTTGTATGTAATATTTCAACTTTTAATGATGTTATGAACATTATTATTATACATTTCTATTATATGTACATTGTACATGCTCAAAACTTGTTTAAAAATGAAAATATGGTAAAAATGAATGAGGGAACACAAATAACATTTACAAGTTTGATCAGAATTCACTCTAATATTTAGCCAACAATAGTAAAAACATTAAATTCATTTTTATTTACTATGTTTGTACGTTTGAAAGATGAATACAACACAAACGGGTATGTTATTCTCTTATCATGTTATTCTATGCAGGTGAAAAATACACTTCTTCATAAAATCATAACTATCAGCTATGTTTAACTGATGACAACTGATATTTATAAAATGTTTAGAGTTTTTAATAATATTGGCATGGCAGAAAAGGCAAAATACCGTTGGCTTTAAACATATTAAATATAAAATTAAACAGAGGACAAAATTTTTAAACCATTGTATATTTAAATATCAGCTGTAATAATGATACAAATTAATTTAAAATTAAATGTATAGTATTTTTCAACATACTGTAATGCACTTACTTCTCAGTATTGTAATTCATTTTTTTTAATATTATTTCATCAGGACTGACAACTTTAATGATTGTCATTGGGACACCAGGAAATTTCTTTTTATTATCTTTATTTTTCCAATCATGATTTTCATTTTCAGTAACTGACCGCTGCTTAATGAATGATAAAGGGTCATCATTTGGTAATATTACTTCTTTCTGTAATCAAATAGATTTAATTTTGCACAAGGAAACAGGACAATTTTATGCACATAAAATAAGCTTGGACAATTCGTATAGCAGTAAAATCTTTTCCACACAGATAAATATTTTAATGACTAATTAAGAACCTACTTCGAAACCATATGCTGCATGCATAATATAAACTATAGTATAGATCATGAAAATGTGCAGATCATAGCGTCAATTTTTCCAAAAAACAGTGGGCCTAAACATTTTTAGGTGTATTGCCCCGTAGGCTCAGTAGAATATTATGAATTTTTTACAGCAAATTTCAAATCTGGCGTGAAAAAGTTTACCTGCCATCAACACAAAATAAAATAGCCACACGGGCTGTAGTTGCCACACGTTTTTGTGATCTGTACAATAGTATACAAAGGTTGACTTGATGTCAAGACCCAAGCAGATTAATTTTGATATGGAACTTGAGATCAGGAAGTAGTCCAATTTTTTAATGATAAAAAGTATAATTAGAACTATGACAATAATTTATTAATAATTTTTAAAGTAAAGTTCTACTTACATTTCTACAGTTTACATGTAACACTGGTAGCTTCATTTGTTTTCTTATATTTTTTTTCTTAAATACACATAATCCAGGATCCACTGTAGTAGCGTAACCTTGAGATACAAGTTGACTGTTCAAGCAAAACTCAGTTCTTGATGTATGATTATATAAAACAATTTTGTGGGTGTCGCCATCAACTTCATGTATGAAAGCTATCAAGTTATCCTCAGCATAATCAATCTTTGAAAATTTTAAAAATGCAGCATAAGCATTGTCACTCCATTTGGTGCTTTCTATACCATCTACAGCAGGATAAACATCTGCCAATGAAGCTTTTATTGCCTATAAATAATAAAGTATCAAAATAAAATTTTAAACACATATGTTTGAAAGCAAATAATAAAAAAAAAAACTCTCAAACAATTTAAACATTAAAATAAGATAAATTCTAAAGGTAAAAAACTATAAAAAAAAATATTATTTTTATTTATTAGAGTTGGTAATTAGCTGGAGCTTAAGGTTCAAAATAACTAATTTATGTTATTCTATATTACAGTCGACTCTCGATAATTTGAAGTTGGCAAGACTGTTGAAAAACTTTGAATTACTAAGAGTTCAAATTGTTGAGTAATTAAAAATAACAAGAGAGCAAAAAAAAAAATTTGAATTACCAAGAAATTTTTTTTTTTTTTATTATTATACATAATTATTAATTATTTCAGCAAATTAGGTGGTACATATTAGAGATATTTTTTGTTTTTAAATTGTAATTTAAACTGTATAATATATAATTTACATACAATGTAAATTAAATTATTATTATAAAAAATTATTTTTTTTTGAAGAAAACTGTAATCGAATGTAATTTTATTTTTTCAATAATTTTTTATGGTAGATAAAGCATCAAAAGCCTCAACAGTAACTTCTGACTGGAGTAAAAAGTTCCTTTAATTTTTCTAAGGATGAACCGGCTTCTTTTAAATTCACAAGAGGAAGGCTATAGACAAGTTAAGTTACGATTAGAGATGATTAAGAAATAAAACGATAAAGTTCTTATGATAATAATTCTATAGTTATCGAAAATAATAAGGTAAATCTCTACACGATTGTATAGTAAATTATTAACAAAAAGATTAAAAGAAGACAGATAAAATACATTTAGTGAATATAATTTAAATTTTCAAGGATTGATAATACTTTAAATTGTCATGTGTTAGCGGCCAATTTTCCCAAAATTTAATTTTGAATTACTAAATGTACTTAAATGTATTGTTTTTATTCAAATTACCATGTTATTTTCAAGGGACCGAGCATTTACTTTGAATTACCAAAGGTTTCAAATTATCTAGATCTGACTGTATATTAATATACTCTTGAGCTTATAAACTTCTGTGTCATATTGCAAATGTGAATTAGGTATTGGAAAACATAGAAATTTATTGAAACTACTTAAGAATAAGGTTTGTTTTGGCCATGGAGAACAATAAAAATTAAGTAGGTAATTTAAATTTATAAATATATATATAAATAATTACTGAAGTATAATAAGTTGAGTTAGTAGAATCTACAATTAAAAAACAATAATAATAATATTGGTTATCAGTTATTATTTATCAAGTTAAAATTCAAATTTAGTAAGAAAAATTTTTAAAATACTTTTAAAAACAATTTTTAATTGTTCCATTGTAAAATTAAACGTACAAGTGGTGGTGTTTTAATGAGTTCTTTATCGAGTACTCTTAACTCATTCCATGGCAATGTTTCTGAATTGCCAAAATCTATATAAAAAACAGTAACCAAGCGCGATTCAGGCAAACTTGTTATTTTTGCGCGATACCAAACACCGTCAAGAGAATATCTAGCTGCAACAGCCATACCTAAGAAGAAAACAAATATTACATTTATAGTAATAATATCCTAAGTTTAATATTAATCAAGATAATATTTAAATATTTAAGCACCAATTTGTGGCGTATATAATAAATAGCTCTTATGTGTATTTTTTGCAGTAGGTGTGTATATTGTTTTCAGTGCATCCATGACTTCTTCTAATTGGGCAGTATCATCAGTCTATAATTTAATAAAAATAAATTTAAATACATAAAACCTTTGTTTAATATATGTATGTATGTATGTATAATTACTGTTCGCAAATAAAACTCTGTCGGTGAAATGACGTGACATAGAACTACAGGATATCTTTCTTTTTCTTCTAGTTTTAAACTATCAGGTAATGTTATCATTTTTACAAGTTGTTCATGCTAAAAAATATAATATAATTTTAAAACAAATAAAATCAATTGAACAATTTTAAAAATTTTAAATACTTACTAATGTTTTGTTTACATAATACTCATAAGATCCAAATCCCAAAAAAAACATAGCATCACGTATGGACAGTGGATAATTCTCTTCTTTCCACACTACATCAACTTCGATACGTTGGCCATTTAAATTCAAAGGGTACACAAAAAATGAACCTGTCTTTACTAACATTAAATCACTGAATAATATGTATGCTTCGTTTGACCATCCAGTTGTTGATTTTGGCTTCAAATCGTAGAAAGCACAATTGTAGGCTAATGATGGTATTGAGACAACACTTGACGGCACACTTCTAATTCTGCACAATAAAAAATAAAAGCAACTTGTATTATTTTAATTAATTTATATAAAAATAAAAAAAGATACTGGCAGATTTTTTTTATCATAATATTACTGTATGTTATTACTTTGTATTTTTAATTTCAATGATTTAAGAATGGGTCACATACATGAAAGTGCTGTATAGATGAAATAAAAAACAATAAAATTGTTGTAAAAAAAAGGGTGAGAAATTATTTCATCTTTAGTTTTGATCCAGTAATTTGTCCAGTTAGTCATATTCATGTTCAAATAATATAAATTATATTGTTATATATTATAAAAGAAAAGTATTTTTGCATTTTTTTGTTTAAGTTTCCTTGTGAATAATTTTAGTTCTTTCAATAGATTAATACAACTATGACAATTAAACCAACCAATAAGTTGTAATAAAAAGTGGCTACCTGTCAGCTGTTAATATCTCCATGAAACCATAGTCAATAAAGTGAACTCTAAATAAATCTTTACCATCTTCATTGTAGGAATGGAGAACAACACCTCGGTGCCATTCATTAGTTGATGTTTGTACAGCATACACAGTGTTGTCTGTAAATCACATACAATGCATAGTTAATAAAACATAGTTGTCTATGTCATATATCATTAATTAAAAGTCCCTATGGTGATGAATATTTTTTTGATTGCAGTGAGAATTTTTGAATATTAGGAAAATAACTTTAATACAGTTTTATATTTATTTGGTCTGTAGGTGTTTAAGTTAAAATAGTAAACTTAAAGGATTATTTAAAATAAAAAATTAGTTGTTTAACTCACTTAATCATTTAACATTCAAATATTTTCTCAACAAAATCAAAAATAGTTAAAAAATTCTTTATTTTAAGTTCTATACTTTTAAAACAATAAAACTATAAAAATCTGTTTCCAACATAATTTGTCATAACATTTTTATGAACATGAAATTATGAACCAACTATTTGGGGTAGTCAAAGTAATACAAATAATTAAAGACAATGGTTTATTTTGAACTTTGTCTAATAGATTTAATTAATTCACAGTTGTTTAATGACACGGTAAAATAATACAATTATATTTGTTTTTATGGAATTTTTCTAATTAAATTTTAATAAATGTCTCAGAGAAATTAACTAAACAGTGTAAAAAATATTTTACAAATTGGACAGCAATTACTGCAGTAATTTATTTGAATATTAGGAAAAAATTTTGAAGGCAAAAAGAACAATGAGTTATAAAAGTCGTGCATATCTTAAAAAATCACTAAGTTTATTTGAGCTAATACTAATGATAAGGCTTTGTGTAAATAACTTAATATTTCCTCCACTGTACGCAAAAACACAAAATTCTATATATTTTTAATATATAGATTAATTAATGTAATAGTAATTAAATTAATCAGTTACTAGAGGTAACTTAATGAAAATTCTGATTGAAATAAAAAAATAATAGGCAATGGGCGTAGTCTAAATGTTATAAATTTAAATAATGTCACGAGATTTCCAAAAAAAAAAAAAAAATGTTGTGTTATTCCAAAAAATTATTAATATGTTAAAATGAATGCTTTTTATAATATTACAGTAGAGCCTGGTTCTGAATAACTTTGAATGACGGTTTGCGTTATATAAACGATGTAAATGGTTGGTTAAATAATAATAATTTTTCTTTATGTCCACAAACAATTATGTGAATAATTTATAATAAAAATATTTTATTTTTTTATTTTTTATTTAGAAAATATATAACATTTACAATCTGTGCAAAATAGTACAATAAGCAAATTTTCAAAACATAAACAAGAACATCAATAAAACGTGATAAGGAAATCCATCCAGTGATAGGACCCTTTTTTTAATTATATTTTAGGTAAAGTGCCTAGATTAGGAAATCATGACACCAACGTCTTTTTAGACGACGAGGAGGGTCATTTAGAAGTGAAAAAGAATACTGGTTTGAGACGAGTGGGTTGGAATTATTTATTTAAAATAATTTTTTTTAGGACACTGTCATTGTTTTCTGCTTGTTTGTAGCCTGTTAAAGGTAGGGTCCTCTATATTCTGCAAACAACAACCAAAATACTACTTCTAAACATCCGCGGCATGTATAAATTTGTATCTCGCCTTAAAAAAACTATTTGACAATAAGAATTGTTGATACGCTTTCTCTTATTCGATGATAAGACGTTCGCAAGCTAACTTACCCATTTCCACGTGATCTACCGGTACAGCGCCGTCTTCTGACTTGACGTGTTTGTTTACATTGTCGTCAACCATATATAACACCGCCTTGTTAGCAACAAGTTGTAAGTAGAAGTCAGACGGGCTGTTAATGTGTGACACGATCACGGGTTCAATTTTGGATCTCACGATCTCCTTGATGACCTGCGATTGCGGTGGACTGTCAACGATGGAAGTTGAGATGGAATCACTGGCAGCAAAGGCATTATCAGAATTGGTGGTGGCGTCATTAGAAGAAGCGGCGGCGTCACCGGAAGCGGAGGTGGTGTTTCCGGAAAAAGCCGAATAATTGCTGTAGCAGGACAACATACTAGAAACGGATGACGGCGGTCTTTCGGCCAACGCTTAAACACATCACAAACGGAACGAATCAGTAAAATATAAATCTACTTACTACCTAGTTACATCATTTATTGATTACCCCATATCATATTAAAATAATTAATATTTACAGTTTTAAGAGGAAGTTTGACGCTTCAAAGGAATAAATATTGAAAATTTTAACAACAATTTAAATACATTTGAAAATCTCAATTAAAAGTATTTTGTAGTTTTATCGTTGTCACGTTGTCATATGATTGCGTGCGGTTTATGTCGGCGGTATACCTCTCCACGATTTCGTGTGCTACGCATAAATTTTATTTCCCTATAACGTTATCAAATATCTATATACAGTAAATATTCACACAGGGTGTGACGACCCCACGATAATTACTTTTTATTACCAATACCATCGATATAGATAACAAAATAATCTTCTTATGACTAAGAATGTCTAAAATATTAATAGTTATATTTTTATTTTGTAAATTCCCATATACCTAGATACACGAATATACGAAAATAGTACTTAATGGTTAAACCTAATGTTAGTCAGTGATCAAACCTAATTGTTTACATTTTAAATTTATTTTTTAAGATGGAAAATAAAATTACATTATTATTTCAGAAAAAGGGTGAGATTTGTTAGTAGAGTGTAATAAGCACAAGTATTGGATAGTGAGCTGATGAGTATGTAAAATAAAAGTGCAGCATAGAACAGTGTACAAACACGATTAATTACGTCATGATTGATCTAATCTAAGCAGGTAATCAAAAATTAAATCTAAATAACTGACGTACATAACATTCAAAATAACTATAGCAAAGAATTTGACATTCAGTTTCATTTTACGCGCAGTCGTACGCTTTTGAAAAATCAAAATTTAAGGTAGGTAGGTACAAATGACTTTTTTTTTTAAAGGTACAGCTGTTTTTAAAACATTTGTAATGAAAGAGTGTTTCTAAAATTAGACTAAGTCTTAACATATAATTATTTACAAAGTAATAACATCAAATATCTTACAGTTGTCATCTGAGTTTAATCCAATCATCGCGGTTAGGGTGTATTCGGGCAAAAAGTGAGGCGAACATCCCAGTACGTAACGGTCGGATAAATCGATATTGAAGTTCACAGACTGTTGGATGGTGTTGAAAATATTAAAATTAAACTTGATTGATGGTTTGGTTATACTCTTCTTAGCTAAGTAATAAGTCGTATCCAGCATGCATTTAATGTCGGAAATGTAATCCATAATCGCATTAGACGAATACTGATTGTTCTTCAACAGCACATCCACAATATTCAATTTGGTTTGCAGTTTCTAGAAACATTATTCCAGTTGAACAACCACAAATAATAAAAAAAATCTACAAATAAGTATAGGTAGTTATAACATAATAAGCGCGTGGAATTCAAAACTTGGACGCATATTAAAATTTAAAAAAACCGAGAAATCCACTTAGTTGTACTTTAGTAGTTATAGAGTCTCAAATAAATTGAATGGAAGTGTTAAATTTGAACTCAATTATATAAATCATAGCATACAAAAAACGATTCTTAGAAGAGACTTGATCAGTAAGCTATATTTCTAAATATATTTTATTAAATACGTATATGTTTACTGATATTAGTAATCAATAATATTATTATACTACATTAGCCTGGTAGGTTAAACATATATAACCATATATTTATACATACAATGTATGTATAAATGCATTTTAAAATTTTTAAGTTACTATAAGTAAAACTTAGAATCATATATTTAATTTTCAAGACTTAGTTATTAATAATAAAAAAAAATATGATGTTTTTGTATTTTCAATATTTTTTAATTGCTATAAGTACAAAAGAATCTTATTATAAATTTCAAGATTTTTGAGTGAGCACTATTATATTTTTTTAACATTTATATAAAACAAAAATCGATAAATATAAATGTCATTTATAAATAGCACAAAACAAGTCAAAATATTTTTTAACACATATGATGTATAGAAATTGTTAATATAAATATTTTATGAAAAACTTAAGTCTTTACAATTATTCATTATTGAGTAATAAAAAAAAAAACATAATAAACTTAGTTGAAAATTGGTTTTATGTAAAATTTTCAGGTTATTCCTAGTAGTTTTATTTTACAATTACATTTAAAAGTACAAGGAATTTTTATCAAAATATCAATTAAATCCAACTTATTACCAGAAATCACTTTCAAAGTTGAAGATTTTACTGCTTAAAATACTAACGACAGACAAAACAATACATCATTGTAAACTTATACATTCGTCATTTTCCTCAAAATTCAAAAGACAGGGTTTTGAATTACTTAAAATAGTATAATGAAAAAGTAAAAAGTAATATTAAAATATTAGAAGAATATTATATGATTATTATTACTATCATTTCATTCAAGGACCACAATGCATTTTTATGTTTTTAATAGTCATTAAATAATTTTTATCTAAATATTTTTTTGAATTGCCACAGAATTGCGCTAAACATTTATTGAAACTACTGTAAGATACTATATAATAAAATATTATTCTTACTTCTATGAAACTGTTTAATTGGTCGACTATTTGGATCATAGAATTGGCGGAAGACTCTTCGGCTTGATCCATCACATTAAATAACTGTTGTTCAAAACATTGGAAAGCACCAATTACAGACGAAACGTACGTTGACAAAAGTCGTTTTATGTGATCAAAGCTCTTATTTTTCTTCAAATTATGACATCGGTATTTTTTTACTTTATCATTGAATTTCTAAAACAAAAATAACAATAATTACAATTAATACGCATTAGTAAAACATTTTTATAACTTCACAATATTGTAATAATTATATAAAAATAAACACGGGCGATTGAATGAGTTAAAAATAATATTGTAGATAAAACAAATGATCACTGTAGAACATTAAAATTGATTTGTAAACGCTTACGATAAAATTAACAACGAGTGAGATGACTATTATGTTTAGTTGATGGTCAAGTAAACCATAAGTTTTATCGAGAGCCGATGTAGACGCATTTTAAGACTACATTTGTATTTTATTATTTAATTTTTTTTTTTTTAATTTAATGAAATTATAATTAACAATAAGGATATCTCTTACAATAACAGCAATTGATCAAATATATCTTAGTAGTAAAATTAACGTTTTTTTGAACATCGGAACACGTATATACCAATTTTTATGTATATTGTTTTGTTATGTTTTTTTTTTTTTTTTTACTCGGATATACAATTCCCATTAATAAATTAACCTGTAATTATAGTTAATAGTTTCAATTCGTAGCAGCTAACCTCATCTACGATATACATTGAAAGAGTAAGCGCATTATACAATCATACATATTTTTTTTTTAAATATATGCATAGGTAACAAAAAATATTTTTTACAAACCATTACCACTTATATGTATATGTTATTTAAATGATATTGATACAATATAATGTATTATATTATGTTTATAGGGTATCAATACCCTTCCACTCTACTTCCCCTTCCGGATCTTTTCTTATTGCTCTTTCGAATTGCCGAGGCCACGTTAAAGCAGTCTCATGACCGGTCATGGGCCTAGCACGAGTGAGCCGTCAACCGGCTTCCTTGTATGTTCTCGATAGACATGCGTACGATTCTCTTTTTAATGAAACTTAATCGCTATATATTCATTTAGAACAATTTTATAATACTTAATTTATTAAATTTAATAATTAAACCATGTATTTGTTTAATATAGTTTTATTATGCTCAATGCTCTCCGTCATCTTCATACCAAACATTGGTAAGTGATACATCATTTTTAAAACATAATTTTATCATATACTTATGTTAATTAAACAAATTATTAAGTGAAAATCCGGGGTTTCAATTTAACCCGAAAATCATATTAAAAACAAACACTTCAATAAAATGCGTCGTAGTAATATAATTAGTATTTCATATTATTCTCATAAACTTGATTTTAAATTAATTTAAGACAATCTTATATTATTTTATTAATGTTCTTGTGAATTAAAATTTGATAGATAGAACGCGCAATTAATATTTTAACTTAAGAACTACTAATAATTTTTTTTTTAAACATTTTAATGTTTAATTAATATGTTTATTTTAATGTTTAATTAATATGTTTATTTTAATGTTTAATTAATATATTAATTTTAATGTTTAATTAATATCAAACATTAATCTGCTAATGTTTAGGGTATAGTAACCATAAAAATAAATTGTTACTAACAAATAGTATGGAACCTTTTTAGTCAAAAAACAATATTTATAACTGTAAAAATTATTTGATTATTTGGCATTTTACCAATTTTCAATTAAATCAATTTGTGTAAGTTTAAAGAGATAGATATTCGTTGTGTATTTAGAAAGGGAGAATTTAAAGCAGAGTGTCACATAATAATATAAGAACTGTAATATATGCTTAGTATAACTTTAAAGTCCACCATTAGATGTATTTGTTTCTGAATGAACGGCGCACAAAGAAACAGGTTTCCAGTATAATCAGTATATTATAGTTATTATTTGGAACATCGCCAGCCAAAGTGGGGTGGGAGATAACGAAACCTGTTCTTTGGAGATCTAGCACCCTATACCGAATGCAGAAATAAAAAAGGACAAAAATAAATAGGCCTTTTTGTCAATTCAAACATAATTCGCCAATTTTGAGTACAAGGTCTCGTAGGTGTAGGTGGAGGTAGCTTTTTTCGAAAGGTTTTTGCCACGCCCCCGAGTCACGTATCTAGAACAGTCGGTACACAGCTTCGGGGCAAGCACGACTTCGTTATTATTAACGATAGTGATAAAATAAGAAAGAATAACAAAATAAAAACGCCTGCGGGGCGCGCGGACGAAAAACAGGAGTTTATAAAATTTGAGTCCCCTAATAATGTTAAGGTCAAAACTAAAAATACTGCGACTATAATATACAATAGATTTAAGTTTCAAGAAATAATTTTAATACATGCGATCGATTAATAATATCGATCGTTTCCTCAAAAGTTATTAATCTCGCCAGCTGCACACATGTTAATCACGTCAATAAACTTGAATCATTATTGACCTCTCATACACGAACACAGCTTCTTTGGATTGTTTATGTGCACAAATGCACAATCCCACACGCGGGCATACATTTTAGGGATAACAAAATATATTGTTATTATATTATATAGTTTCATTAAAACGCGGACACACGATCCATATATTATACACGCCTGTAAAGTAGGTATCATTCGGGTTATAACAATAAATATGACCTATGAGGTCACGTCTTTATGTTCGGGCGCACGCCAACGCGTGCCTAAGAATTATTATGAAACGTAGAAAATAAAAACGTTACGGAGCCACTTTCAAATGGGTCTATTATTCAACGTTTGACCCGAGTCGCAGTGTCGATTTGAATTGACAATGTAAATACGAATAAGTGGCATAATACACAATATAAAACGTTGTACATTATTATGATATGATAAAAATGCAATAACATATTGTTTTTTTATTATTTACAGGTGGTTCGGAAGATGGCAAAAAATCGAAGAGCGCCAGAGCGTTGGAGACACGAGACGCTGGAGGAGACGATGATACAGACGGTTTAAACCAAAGAGATAGGCTTGAGGACGATGACGAGGAAACGACCAAAGTACCACCGGGATTTCTGAGTCCGTCAGTGAGAGAATACTTGGAACTAGGAAGGTCGATACCAGGTATAGTTGTCATACTAATTACACGATTGGTTTAACTAACTGAATTACGATTATACCCAAAAAACAGGATAAGTTGCGATATGGAATGCTTATTATTAGTAGTATTTAAATAATTATTATAATATAGTAACAGTGATTTATCTCTGCGAGAGATGAACTGGTACTCAGTATGACTAACACATACGAAATAACGATAAACTATAATATGTCATCGTCGCCTCGCTGCCAAATAATAATTGATATGGCAACTAGCACGCACGCAAATATTACCTAATGGAGTTTTGTTAACACATTATTCAGTGGGATGTATTATTATATTCGAGAGAAAGCCAATTTAAAATCCTTAATCAGTGGCTTAAAAATTATGGTTGATTGAAATTCTAGGCCTTTGATTCACCTGCATATTAAAAAAAAAAGACGGTAACACATTCAATCGAAGTTTTTGTATCATAAGATTTCATGGTATACCTGGTAGCTACACGCATTTGTGCAATTATCGAAAATTGATAATTATCTTATTTTATTATAGAATCTGACAACTATATAGGATTGATTTTAAAAAACATTTTGAAAAAAAATACATGGCTTCATTTTAATTTTGTTTTTTTACTTGATCAATGTTATATTATAATATAATAGTTTAGGTATTTTAAAACACGTTACAAAAGTAAGAAGATAATTCCTCATTATAAAAAACAATTTTACTTAAAAATGAGCAATGTTTGTATTGTATTGATATGCAGTTAATTTAAAATAAAATAAAACTATGAAGTCCTCAAATTCTACCAAATATGACGGCAATAATAACAAATGCACATTATAATACAACTAGGTTTTTGACAAGTTATGCAACTAATCGAATGCGAATGAATGCGATGCCCATATAGATTAAGCTTCATACGTAATAATATTTAACACGCGCTGAATATTAAAATGAATAAACACTTTCTAAGAGTTCTTCTGACGATACGCATTCGATACACATTTAAACGAAACGTAAATATAAACTCGGTTTAAGAGATTAAGAAAAAAAATTTCTGTTGACAAAATATTAACGACATGGCCATTAAAAAAAGATTTGTACTCGTCGCTTGCATTGAGCTTGAGGACATCGGTTAATATATATATTTTTTTAACAAACGAACGCGAAGGTGCACACGATAATATATATTGTAATATGCGATGCGATGACAAATATTTTACACGGTATAACACGAATAATAAGAACAATAGACATGAGGCGGTATCGTAATGCCATATTACTGCACTCGATAGAACGATGACCGATTTTTATTTAATTTTTATTTAAGAAAGGACACATAACAAGCGGGCTTATAAGAATGATAAACCAATTTGATATTTCGTGTACATTAACGAATTGTAATATAGCCAATGTACAGAATATAAACACTGCAGTGGCAGAAGGACACAATTGATGATATTCGGTATAAATATTTCAAGGTCTGCGTCGGCGTCGGCGTTGCAAACGTATATATATTTCGCGATGATATAATATTTAATATAGTGAGATGTATATACATATATAAAATATGATACGCGCGAAAATTCGAGTCTAATAATTATTCATCTCGGACGTTTTAATATGGATCATTATTATCGTTAATAACCTTAGAATGCGATCAACGAGTGAACGTAGATTGTAAGTGGCGACGCGACTGTAATAAATTTTAAGCATCAAAACACCATAACCACAGTATCGGCTTTTTTGGCGTCCTCATCCCTCAGACTTCCGATAATTGACACGTCAAATCAACAACCTCTGATCTTTGATTACAGTCAATTATCTTTATTATTGTAAACAGATCGATTTGCATATATTTAACTATATACGAGTCAATAGTTGAGCTCGTTTTGTAACTAGGAAATACATTTTAACAAATACCTACTAATAATAGTAGTCGTATCGGTCTTTCACTACTGCAGCCATGTTATTAGAACAATAATACAATTATATAATCCACTATAATAAATGTGCACATATTATAACCTATTAAAATTAAATTGTATATTATAATATAATGTTTGACGTGATATACGCGGTACAAGTCGAGAAGCCCGGCGGTGATTTCTTATCCTGATTAATAAAAAAAAAAAAAAATGAAGTTATGATAGATAAAAAAAAATAAATAGTCTATATAATATTAAATGTCAGACAAAATACGAAACGCGACCGCCAACACCGTCGTGCAGTTGAATTTGGAACGGTATTGATTATTATAATAAATATTATAATATATTGCTTTCGATTTGGCGTTCGAAAGACTTGCAAACACCTTACGGTCATTTAACACGTACGTGCTTTTGAAATGAAATAGCCCCGGTTGTAATTATACACATAGGTAGGCACATATATTTTAAAGCATTTTCATGTTATCAATTATCATATTTTAAAATCTAAATCGAATAAATAAATACTGTGGACCTAGGACAAGACGTATGGAATGTGGAAGCAGTTTTTTTTAAAACACCTAAAATTACAGTCAACCGTTCTTTCTAGTAGTACACCTATTGACCACTTGTCTATTCCGTATGAATATGAAGACAACATTTATGTATTTATACGTTTTTGTGGGGTAACGAATGTTGAATGTACATAACTGATAGGAGAGTTTTCTCATTTTTTAACGTAAAATATTTATAGAAGACCATATACCCACCACCTGCTTCAATGTCACTTTTAAGTTAATAATTATTACTTTAATAATGAAACAAACAACAAATGACAATTAACGTGTATTTTGGAACTAAATAATGAATGCTAAGACTAATGTTTTTTATAATATATTTCTAATCGTTATAATAACTTAAGTTATAACTGCTATTACATAATTATTATTTATTATAATATATTACTAACAAAGAATTTTCGTCATTACATCACTCCTTTTCCAAAGTCAATAATAAACACTTATATTTTAACATCGTAATGTTTTTATGAGTTTGGTGCAACTGGACGTCTGGACGACGTTACTAATAATGTCATATTTAATTATTATTATTGCATTGGGCAAGACAACTATAATGCGGAGTGTATGTGGTGCCTAGTCGGCTTAGATCCAGGACTTATAATAGGGTACATTGTACTTAAATTACATACGTAACCAATTCTGTGATACGATAAGCGAATTTTTCCGATTTTCGAGAAATAATAATCAAAATTTGGTATTGGAATTCTAAGCAAACCATGAATAATTACGAAAATAAATTTAGCTATTACACAAAAACGTATCACGCTTGGTATACTTTGTACAATACTTGTTTAAAAACACACACCGGCACTTAGTCACACCAAAACCCACGAAAAATAACATATCTGCAGCGACTTTCTGGCCACCGTACTACGTAGAGTTGTTATACAATATATATATATATTGCTACTACAGTAATAATATGTCGGTTGATATTAGGTAACTACGTTGAACTATCACCTCTGTACAGCAATCGACTTGGAGGTGACCAACTTTTGTTTCGACCATAATATAATATCGCGAGTTTAACGCAGTAAACGGTCGGAAATCGGTTACAGTTCAAAACCCGAAAATTCAAATTTGCTAACACCTCGACCCTGTTGCAGGTAAACCGGGCACGGATTATCCGGTGCTGGCCGTGGTGCCGTACACGGACTTTTACTGCGACGACCAACCGTACCCGGGCTTCTTCGCAGACGTGGACACCAGATGCCAGGCGTGGCACTATTGCGACATCGACGGCCGGCAAGCGTCGTTCCTGTGCCCGAACGGCACACAGTTCAGCCAGGCCGTGTTCGTGTGCGACTGGTGGTTCAACGTGCGGTGCGACCTCAGCAAGGAGCTGTACCACATCAACGAGAGGCTGTACAGGACCACGCCGCGACCGGACAGGCCGCACAGGGTGCTCACCAAGGAGCTGCTCGACCAGATATTCCTCTGATCGACCACAACACGCGATTTATATACATACATCATAATTGTGTTTAACGCCTATATATACATAACTACTGCAGGATTTACGATACGATATAATAAGACGTCTGCGACCGTTCGATTGACAAGTACACAATTGGTGTAGATCTAGAAGCTTCTAAAGGCATATTCAAATGCAATTTCCGTACACAAAACCGTTAAATCCTCCAGGTGCAATCCCTCTTCGCCGCCATACAGAGGCGTCTTTTCTCTCTCTCTCTCTCTCTCTCTCTCTCTCTCTCTCATTCCCTTTCTTTGGTGTCTATATATACATATTTTTTTTATGTATACTGTCGTTATTAGATCACTGATCCGGCAACAACAATTCATGGTCGAAATATTAAGCGATTTTATAAATAAGCGCATAAACATTTAATTTGGTTTTAGCTCCCGCGTAAACGTTTGAAATCTATATAAGTATTGAAAACCAAGTCAACTTTAGAAAGTGACTATGACGCCAGCGGCTCAAACTGCAACCTGTCAACAAAACGTCCACCGCCACCGGTACCGCTAACATACATAATATTTAATATTAATATAACACCGACTAGTCGGTAAAACCTTTGTACCTACATATTTTCTAGAATCCTATTCGTATGTTCGCGGCAATATATTTTTTATTACCTGCGAACGTCACACGACTAAAACCGAATAAAATTTAATTTGCACATTTAACGCGTATAATTGTAATATGCTACCTATATAATAATGCATTACACACCGCGGCAAGTGACCTTATATATCGTGACGATAACCGCCCACCAAGCGTACTTAGGTTGACATCCCGAACGGGGGGTCTCCACGGCACTTAGATCGCCAATAATATTCCGACATGATATTATATTCCAGTAGGTTCATGAAATATTACACCGCGACCGAGTTAAAATATGTTTGGCCATCGACAATTCTGTACAACTAAATTATACATTAAATTGGTCAGGAGCAGTTATAAAATTATTAGTTATTATATTATTCAATTTCGACACTATACACACAACATAAATACTCCTATGTTCGCGATAATCTGTTCAACTAAACAATATGATCGGAAAAAATTACAATTTGTACGGTACCTATACATAAAAGAATATTATTATACGCACGTCAAAGAGAATAATCGTTACATCTCAAAACAGTGTATACAGACACACCACACATAGTGCTGTATGTAAATCGGACGCTCGCGCAAACCGCGTTTGCGTCATTCGTTGTGTACTAAACGCGGACTTACATTTATACTATTGTTTAAAGGTCACTGTTTGGAAATATATTCGTTTTGTTCACTACAGAAATTACATGTGTAAATATAGTATTATCATCATATTTCAAAACCAATAATGATTTCCGAGATGATTGCATTTGAATCGTTACTACAATATAAATCTTTATCCTCATATACTCACTTAACATATTAAGTATGTATGGACGTTATACACATTATGTGCGCGATTGTTATACGAATAAAGATCGATTATAATTTATAACCTGTCATATATACATATACATTATATATATATTTTAAAACTTCTATTATCTAATAGGCAAATCGCCTTTCTATGTAGGTGACATATTTTTTCTTTATATAACTTGTTATTTACGCCATTTGATACGTATACCATATTATATTTATTATTATTTAAGATTATTTAAGCATTAAATTAGTAATTTAAACGAGGAATCCACCGAATACTGTATTTTAATATTAAAAATAAATATTTTTATGTTTAAACATAGGCATGTTATAATAATATAACAAATATAATATTATATATTATATGTATTTCATTATAGGTAAAACAATAAAATATAAGAAATAATTAGATTTTATATTTAAAACTAAAAATACATATAAAAAAAAAAAAAAAAAAATAATAGCTGAAATATTTCTAAATAATAAATGAATTATAACCGAACAGCTAGGTTTAATATGTTTTAGACGTTTACGTTGATTCATATAGGAAAATCTAATTTAACGACTACAGCCCTTAAAACCTTACTACTAGATTACATCCGATTTTAAGGCAATTAATAATGTAATTTAATTATTATTATAATAAATTACTATATATTGAAGATAGTATATTATTCAATATACCAAGTACTTATAATATATATCAAGGGCGACCTAACTTTTTTTGGCCGCAATCTACTTAAAATATACTTAACCTTTGAGGACAAGAGTGGATACAGAGGTCCTAAAAAGATGAGGGGACGCAAAATATATAAACGAATAAAATAAATTAATAGGAGTAGCTAAAGGTATAGGAATTGTTTTATTATAAGTCGAAGTGAAAATAATTAAATGCTCATGGCCCTCTTTCGATAACTGGTATGAACAACATTTTAGTCACAATTAATTACAAATGAAATATTTGATAACTTTTTTGTGAATGGGAGGGGATTGCCTCCCTTGTATCTGCTTTTGTGTGAGGATCTACTTACATAAGAAAGTTTTCCTTAATTATTGAATATCTATAACTATTAAGAAACATACTTGTATAAATTTGTACCTATAAACTTATTACTACAAAGTCTAATTAATATATTATTTTGTTAATCTGGGCATTTTTAAAGTATGACATTGCATTTCGTTGACCAATTGTTCGTAATCTGGCGAATAGTTGTTGGCTAATCGAAGGCTCCAAATGAGCATCAGAGAGTATAGCTCGGTATTCAGTTTTTATCGTTTTCATGCGTTTTATATTTCTTGTGTGCACTCATATTTATACATTTTGAACAATTTAAAAACGTTTTTATAAATACAACAGAAACCGAATCAACATAGTGAAATTACAGAACTGAAATATAAATTACTGCGTGAACAATAAACATGTGACTCATACAAAATCAGAATAAAAGATAAAATTTATCGATAAAGTTGTTAACTACCACTATGCTTAACTTTTGAACGCGTGGCCTAAAAATAAACTCTAACATGATCGACTTTGAAATCGTCTGAGATTGAAAGTTTGGCCGCCCCGGGTATATATTATAAACAAACAACTTACTAATTCTCTAGTTAGTTACATAAAATGCGTATAATTTATTTATTTAAAATGGCATATTTTAATTCAACGCATCATGAATTGTATTATAATGTATGCTCAATTAACAATAACGTAATTTGTAATTGTATATTTTCTATTAACGCATACAATTTAGAAATAATATAAATATAGATAGATAATAGCTAAGTATTTAAGAATTTTGATTGTTAAACACACTTAACACATTTTTAGATTACTAAAAAAAACATTAAGAATAGTAGTAAAGACGATTGTAGAACGATAATTTTTCATTTTTATTGAAGAATAACAAATATATTTATTTATTAGTTTTTGAAAAATTTTAAAAAGTTATTTAAGTTTATTTTTAATATAATTAAGTTAAGCAAAACATATAGAGTATCAGGTATTTTGAATTTAAATACTAAAATTCTTTAATGATGAATTCCATTAATATACATATTATTATATCCGAAATTCAATAAGTTAAATGTATTTTGATCGGCAATAAACATTTCTAAAAGAAAAAATGTACTTAAATAATTTTTTATTAGTATAAGTATTAACTATAAACTAAACAAAAAATGTAAAATGGTATTTTATTTGATATTTACACATTTATCGATTAAGTCAACCTCAATATTTGTGTAATGACGGTTAAGAATCAAGGCATATGGTAATGTATTTTAGCAATAGAACTAATAAATTGTATCTTGTAGAAGAGAACGGAGTTTTTAAAGTTTAAAAATTTTCAAAAGCAAGTAAATTATAACGATAAATTTGTTATTTTTAGTGATTTTGTATTTTTATTTATTTTATTTAAATAAATGTAACCAATTACTCATTTTCAACACATAAATTGTGTGTACTACAATGGATAATATTACTAAATTTTAATATATATTACTCGTTTTATAACTATTTGTATTGTTTTAAAATAATAATTATACAATTACATTGATGTAAAATTTATAAACATTTAACAAAATTATAATTTACAAATTATACAGTAACTAAATAAGCAATACATTTACATTGATACTGTAAATTGAATAGTAAAATTATTTTATGACTGTATATACATGAATAATTAAAAAGTACGGTACGGTTAAACATCTAAAAACTTAAGTCCAAAAACCGTTATAGTACTTGTAATATTTAATCAATAATTTGGTTCAAATTACTTGTGAGATATATGCATATTACTAAATAATTCATTTTTACAGATAAAAAAAATGAATATTTACAAAATTGCATAATTGCGTACAAATTTTACGTATTAATACTTATATTGCAGCTGTATACTAACTACTAACTAGTGTAGTACTAGCATCTAGTTATATTAATTAATAGTTAATACACACATAATATACTACGGGAGAAGCGTTTTACGTTTCACACGATTGCGTTCTCACCAACCACCTGCAATAGACCACAAACCTATAGTTGGTAATCTTTTTTGCTGAGGTCACTGATATAAAATAACATTATTAATTCTTGTTTGAATTTTTTTTTTTTTGATCTTATTAAAACGACACTCGAGAAATTGATATACCATCGTGGTGCACTCATTATATTATGTTAATCGCCGAAGTGTCTTCGTTTAGTCGTGTTTACTGGCGGTATCGAGTTATCATATAAATAGGTATATAACGAAAACACTCATAACGATTACTGTGCAAGGCTACTAAGTATGCGCGTAAAAGTAATTGTAGGCAAAGGTAACGGATCACCAATCAGATTAAACAGTTTTGTATGGGGAGGACGATTTTTAAATTCATTATTTCTTGCATATTTAACAGCCTTAGAAAAAGCATTATAGCCCAACACAATTATCAATTTAAACGATCAATATAGTTTTCACTGATATTATATTCACAAACAGTTTATCCTGCAGATTTTTGGATTGTATAGTGATCAATGAAAAATAAAATAAAATATTTATAGGTAAGTACATCAGAATTGATGTGCTAAGATAATATTTTAAATACATTCTTTTAGCAATTTCAGAACTCTAAGACGTCACTGCGAATACTGTACTATATACTCAGAAATGCTATACATAACTATCCAAGGCTACCACAGGATTTAAAATTTTTACCTAAGATGATTAAAAAAAATGTTTATTGGCACTGTAACTTGATATAACCACTAGCTAGTTTGACGCAAACCTTTGTAATACAGAATACAGAATTGGCATTCAGTCACAACAATGTTTTTATTTTATAAAAATAAGATTAACAATAATTCCACTCTCTCCAATAAATATAAAAACCTATTTTTTCTATTATAATAATATATTGTATAATATATAAAGTTAGTGGGTTATAGTCGATTTAAAAGTCCTACAGATTAGCCTACGCTCAAAATGTTGACGCTCCGGGCAAACGCACCTACTTTGACTGCATGTATACGTTCAATTAATAGTTATATCACTAGAAGTTCGTACAGCATAAAAACATAATAATTCAAAAACTATGTTTTTTTTTTTAAGAAAAAGAAGAATTTAAGAATAGTCAACGACTAACTCAAGAGATTCCTGCAAATATTTACTACATTGTTTAGTATCTCTTGAGTATAACAAGTAAATCGAAATTCAAGATGAAATATGGACTAATCAGTGATGAACTAAAATGGTGGAGGATTAATTTAATAATACATATATCAATAAAACAAGTGAACAAGATATTTAAACTAAACGGGTAAATAAACTTAAGATACAATAACTTCTTGAACGGTATAATGAATATATTTATTCTAAATCTACTTAATAAATTGACAAATTCTATGCACATTTTATACATGTTCAGTACAGCCAGCACATACTTATTATTATGTGAGTCACGGTCAGATCCCACTAGCCAACAACAATAATGACCATAATAATTATAAAAAAAAAAAAAAATGCAAACAACAATAATTTTACCTTCGCATTTATATATACGTAATACGTAAAAGCATTAGTTAGGTCTCGATATTATTTTACCGACAATACAAATCACAATAAGATTTTTAAAATTCGTAAAATCAGTATATACCATGTATATAATAAAATACTAATTTTCAATAATACTTAATGTACTGTATAATGTGCGTATACATTTTAAATGCCAAGGTACAGTTAAAGTAGTTATTTTTAATAAAATTATTACTACAAAGAAATATCATGAAAAAGTTTCATTGAATCTTGTTCAAATGCCATTAACAGCTATCAATCATAGTTAAAACATTAAATATGTTTGATTTTTATCTTGCAACAATAAAACCAAAATCCAACCAATATAGTTTAATAATAAAAAAAAAATATAACATTAATATAATGAAATTTATTAGCTTTGCATTTTGTTTTTTTCTCAAAAAATTGTACCGTATTTTAAAATTCTAGTAGTAATTTATATTATATAATTATACCTAATATCTAAATTACACAACACGAGTAAAAAATATGAATAAAATAACTGTATTAATATAAAATTACAATAATTAAAATTATACATTTAGAATAAGTGTGTCATGCCTCAAAGGGCAACGAAAAGTTTATATCTTTTCCATCTTATACAGTAATTGCATACCTATCTCTCAACGAATGATTGACCTTATACGTTTAA